CCCCAAAACCCCAAAACCCCAAAACCCCAAAACCCCAACACTACATAAACCCTCACTAAAACCAATACATAATTAATCAAAAATGCAACTTTCCACATACAAACCTGCTTCAACTCCTACTAGCCACAAGTACGCTCCCATGGTCCAAATTCTTCCAAAGGCACGCCTTTGGAAGAATTGGACGACAAGAGCTGTCTTCTGGGGAAGAATAGGAGCAGCAAGAGTTATTGCTAAATGAAAGATGCTGATTTGGTGGATTCTAGTATGCTTGTGGCAGATGGTGGTACTCCCCCTATCAATGATAAAAAAGCTTGGTTGTGGATTTGTAAAGATAACAAAGCACATTCTCAAGAAAAGCGTGAACTTGATATGCTTCCCATTTTCCATTTTAATGAGACTCACAAGATTAAATTTGCTTCTTCAAAAAATTAAATGGACCAAAAATGGCTTAAGCCAAATAGAAAATACAACAGAAGAGAAAGAAAGTTCCCTAGAGTTCAATAAAGATGGAAAAGAAAAGATATCTCCTCCTGAGTGAGAGCAAACTTCTAAAATTGAAGAGAACATTTTAGAGGAATGCAAAGCTTCTTCTTTAGCAAAAAATGGGGCTGCTCCTTGCAACGGGCTTAATGATATCTTTACAGAAGTAGAAAACGAAACTTCTTCAAAACAACAAGTAATTCAACAAAAATCTGACTTAAAAGAAGAATGCTTTATTAATGAAAAGCCAAGAGAAGGAAAATGTAATGAGTTTGAAGAACATAATCTTGCCGGAGTATCTACTGATGAAGAAATTACTCATGAAAAAGAGTTCAAAGAAGCTGGAGAGGAGAGCTCCAGTAAGAAAATGCTTCAAGATCCCAAGATTGATTTGAACAGTTATCAGGAAGAATTGGACAGCAGAAAATCATCAATAAAAAGTCCGATAAATTCAGAAGAAAATTTTGAAGATAATCAATCCTATTTAGATGATGAAGTTTCTTCTGATTCTGACGAGCCTGATAAAGATATAGATGAAGGTCTTTTACAAGATAAGGACATTCATAATCTCAACAATAAAGGAATTAATAATCTTGGGAATACTTGCTTCATTGCATCTACTCTCCAATCCTTGCTTTCTAATTCAGATCTTCTGAAGTATTTCTTATCCAAAGCTGAAAATGATGATGGAACTACTTTCAAATCTAAAAAGAAGAATTTTAAGAAAAATCTTAAAAGTAAGAAACCTCATTATATCTAATTTCAAGCCTTTTAAAATCAGAAAAATTAATCCCGTTAAATAAGATTTTTTGCATCCAATTTTTAAAATTCAATTTCTAGTCAATAACAATTTATGTAATTTTTAGAGGATCCATCAAATCAAACAGAAGATAACACATCCGTGACCCAGCTATTCAAAGAGTTATTAAGATGGAACTACAACCCGACTAAGACTTCAATAGTTATGACACAGTTTAGAAAGGTGTTTGAAGAACAATTTCCTCTAGGTCAACAAGAGGATGCTTCAAAACTTATGCTGGAATTATTCGAAGAATTACAGAAAGAGAGAAATATTGATCACTCTCATTTTGATAACTCTGGATATAAGAATGATGATCATGCCTGGAGTACTTACTCTAAAAATCATATGTCAATAATTGACAGGCTCTATGTTGGAATGGAAAAGAATGTATTTAAGTGCAAAGAATGCTCTGCTGAGATATCCTCCTATGAACCATTCAAAAGTATCCCACTAGAACTAAGCTCTCAAAACCAAAAACTTCACAGATTCTTCACAAAATCCAACACCAAATCCTCCAGCATGTTCTTCTGCGACTCTTGCCAAGACGTCAAAAACTGCAAAATCACAAACTCAATCACCAAATACCCCAAATACCTCATCCTGACCCTCCAAAGATTCGACCCGTTCACCAACTCCAAAATCACCTCCTTCATAGACTACCCAGAATCCTTCAAAAAGTCCACACAAAATTCCAGCCACACCTACAGTCTCAACAGCGTGATCTGTCACTCAGGCTCTCTTTATGGAGGCCATTACACTTCTACATGCAGAAGGAATGGAAAATGGACTTATTTTAGTGACTCTTATGTAGGAGAGAGCAGTGAGAAAGTACCGTTTGAGAGAAATGCGTATATTCTGGTTTATAAGAGATGATAAGTGGTTAATTCAGTTTATGGTGATGTGTGTGGGGTTTTGGGGTTTTGGGGTTTTGGGGTTTTGGGG